CTGCAAGAGAAGTGTGCCCTCTTAACTGCTGAGCCATATCTCCAGTTCCTGAAAATTACTTCTTAGAATGAGCTTAGGAACAGCAAAGTCATAGACTTCAGCAACATTATATACTGTGAAAGTGATAGAATGATGCATGAATACATTAACTTAGCACAGCTTCAAGCAGTATACTGGCTCCTGCCATTTTTTTTTTTTGTCTTTTTGAGACAGGGTCTCCCCATAGCCCCAGCTGTCCCGGAACTCACTATGTAGACCAGGCTGGCCTTGGACTCACAGAGATCCTCTTGCCTCTGCCTCCCAAGAGCTGGGATTAAAGGCGTGCGCCACCACAATTTTTCATCAGCAGAAAATTTGTTAAATAAGCTTTTACAAAGTATGGCTACACACAATTTTATTTATTTTACTATGCAATGTTGTTTTATTAGACAATTTATATGTTTTTTTTTCTTAGCATTAAAATAAACAGTGGGGGCTGGAGAGATGGCTCAGCAGTTAAGAACACTAGCTGCTCTTACAATGGACCCAGATTCAGTCCCAAACATCCACATGGTGGCTAACACCTATCCTTAACTCCAGTTTCATGGTATCTGATGCCCTCTTCTGGCCACTACAGGCATTGCATGCATAGATGCCCTTACATACCTGAAGGCAAAACACTCATACATAACATTAAAAATATATTAACCTTAAAAAAATGAACAGTGGAAGAACTTTGCCTGTCATCAATATATATGTCATTGTACCTAGGCTATGAGGAAATATATGCATTGGAAAAAAACCACATCAAACTTTAAGTGCTGTCTCTAATAAATAACAAGTAAAACATCTGTTAAAAGAAATGCATAGACAACAATCAGTTTATAAGCAATTCTGTCTGTTCTTTCTTTTTTAATATTTCCATTATGGAATTCACTTTCTTCATGAGAAGCCAAACTACATAAAGCAAATATATGTAGATAAAAGTTCACTAATTGCCAAATGGATAGTTTTTATAAAAATCCCTTTATTTCATTGTCTCATTTTGTGAGATACAAAGATCAGAGCCATACTTCATTTTTATACTTACATGTAATTTTTAACTAAAATAGTATAAAATAATATAGTGAAATCTGTTAGTGGTCAGATTTCCATGCATCAATAAATCAGATATTATTCCATGGTGCTTTAAATTATTCCTCCATATATTCACATCATTTCATATGTGAACTTTGTAAAAAATGTCCCCTTAAACAGAGGTTTCTTACACATCATTACCAAGGATGTAGTTAGAATAATTAGTCTTGCAGTTTCTCATCTCTGATGCTTTTTGACATGGGATTAAAAATGTGACCTAATTTTGCTATTGATTGGTAAACATCTTAAAACTTTTTGTTTTGTAGGGTTTTTTTTTATTTTTCCATTTTTTAAAGGAAATCATGGATTTTTCCAGATGATTTTCTGTGGAGTAATGATTTCCTAAACTCCACAGTGTCAGTGGATTATTTTAAGATATGAAAGTTTGATTATTATTTTGATATTCTTGTCTTTAGGTGTTTTCAGAGATCTGATACCAGATCTCTGCTCAGAATTATGATATCAGTAGACCGTATGACATAATTTGTGTGTGTACACATATATGTGCAGGGGCAGAGGCTGTAATTTAACCTGAAACTGACTGTTTAGGCTAGTTTGGCCAAAACAGGTTCCTGTTTCTGCCCCAACCATTGGGATTACAGATACAATGTGGTCACTCCTAGAGTTTATATGGCTGCTGGGTATTTGAACTGTACATCTTTGTACAGTGAGTGTTCTTCCCCATCTCCCCATTTCCCCACTCCTCTACCAAGAGTTTTTTCATCCTTCATTCTTAAGTTTGATGAAATGCTTTCTGTAGACTGCACCCCAAACACATGCATCAAGATGTGACTTTGTTGATGTCCTGTTATTTAGGAAATGAACAATATATTGTTTCAACTTTATATTTTGTTCACAAATTTTAATGACTTTTCTGATAGTCTCTTAATTTCTCCAAATACTTTAGAATAATTTGTAACTTCAAAATTTGAATGTCTCATATGAAAACTTCATTTACATTATTTTCCATATTGCTGGGAAAGTGTCCCGTGTTTACCAGGGGATGCAGGTGTGTTGATAGTTCAGTCCATATGGAATGAAACTCTATAAAATGACATGACTAATGTCTCTCTATATAAATTCTACCCTTGATCATTTTTCCAAGGAGTTATGATCATTTTAATCAAAATTATTTTAGTTACTACAATCTTAGGTCTGGATTTAATTAGTGCTATTGAGTTTGATCATTATTTCAAACTCTTTTCACTGGACAGAGTTAGGGTATATACACATTTTCATAGAAAAATATATCATGAGATTTTTATGATTGTTAATCTTTTATTTCCATTGTTTTAAGAGAAAAATGGTAGTTTGTATAGCGGCTCCATTGATTTAACCCAAGTCTTAAGTAACTATTGTTAATGAAATAATTTAAAAAATTTTAAGGGCTTCGTATTTAGGATATATAAAATTAAGTCATACATATTGTATAAAGTATGCATATCACATAAAGTTACTTGAAGTAATTCCCAAAGAGAGAATTTTTTCCTTTATAAAAATCTAAAAATATGAATTGGTTGGTCATTTTTACATTTACTTACCTTAAATTTGTTTAACCTTAATTAACAATTGTACATATTTAAGGTACTCAATATGTTTTAATATGTGTTTTCAAGATAGAATGGGTAAATAAGGCTGACAAATAGATCCATTGCTGCTAAGACTTAGGTATTTTAACAAGAGCATTTCAAACCACTCTCAACAGTGTTAGCATATACACTGTCAGTGTTTATTCTAGCCACCATCTTGTACAACACATCGTAATTCCTCCTGCCACACTGAAACTTCATCTCATGAACCAAATTCCACTTCTCAACCCACTCTCATGACGCTCCTAGCTGGTCTGAGTTAATCTCTGTTAGATTGTGAGTGTACATGTGGTTATATTCTGTTTGTCTTAGTGTCTGGATTTCTTCACTTAGCATGTCCTCCAGCTTCATCTTGGTTACCACACATAACAGGATTTCCCCCTTTTCAAGGTTAGAAAAATTGTTCCATGTGTGGACACCCCCATTTATTTTATTGATTCACCTAATGATGGATACTTAAATTGTTTCTATATCTTAGCTATATTTTATGTTTTTAAAGATTTTTATAGTTTTAATTGTGTGTGTGTGTGTGTGTGTGTGAGAGAGAGAGAGAGAGAGA